TGATTTTATTTTACTCAGTGATATAGTCTTACATTGCATCTGAAGATCAATTGATTTGGAGAGACTTGGCGTCTTTATGGATAGTAATTGAGTTCTGAATCCCTGAGTATAGTATATCCTACCATTAATTTATTTAAACAGTGGTGTGTGTGTGTGTATACTTGGCACTGTCAACTGTTCTCTCCTGGAAACTGCCCTGCTTTGGTTTCAGTGACACGACCCTCATGTTTTCCCCTTTTTTCTCTGCTATTTTTCTTTCTTGTCCCCAAGTGATCTCATCTACCTATTCAATGATTATTCACAAATGCTTAAATTTTTATCTCTAGTTTGTATCTTTTTATTGTTGTTCTCTAGACTCAAATGCTTTCTGGACATCTCTACTTAAAAATTTTTATTTTACAATTATAGTTGACATTGAATATTATTTTATATTGGAGGCCTGGTGCATGAATTCATGCACATGTGGGGTCCGGCCGGCCTGCCCTGATGGGGGCCTATTGGGCTGGGCCGGCTGGAGGTAGGGGCTGTGGGCAGTTGGCTGGCCAGCTCTGCCCCCAATCTGGGTGTTGGGGGCCGATCGGGGGCTGGGCCGGCCAGAGAGGGTGTGGTGCCTGATCAGGGCCTGGATCAGACTGGTTGGCTGCCGCAGTGTGTGTCATAGCCACTGGTCGTTCCAGTTGTTCTGGTTGTTCCGCTGTTCTGGTCACTGGGCTTTTATATATAGATAGATAGATTAGTCTCAGGTATACAGCATAGTGGTTAGACAATCATAATTCACAAAGTGCTCCCCCCCACCCCGATATTTCAGGTACCCAACTGGTACCATCCATACTTATTACAATATTATTATCTATATTCCATATGCTGTACTTTACATCCCCATGGCTATTTTATAACTGCCAATCTGTACTTCTCAATCCCTTCACCTTTTTCACTCAGTCTTCCAACTTCCCTCCCCTCTGGCAGCCATCTGTTTGTTCTCTGTATCTGAGTCTGTTTCTGTTTTGTTTTTTTTAGATTCTGCATATAAGTGAAATCATATGGTATTTGTCTTTCTCTATCTGACTTCTTTTAGCATAATGCCCTCTAGGTCTATCCCCGCTGCACAAATGGTAAGGTTTCATCCTTTTTTATGGATGTGCCCACTCTGCCATTCAGTTTTGTTGGGGAAAAAAATCTATATATTTTTCCAATTATAACTTCTGCCATTGCTGTACTTAAAAAGCCTTCCTCTACTTCAAGATTGTAAAACATATTCTTTTACATTTTATTTTAATACTTTCAGAGTTTACCTTTTTAGATTTAATACTTTAGTCCATCTGGAATTTATACTGGGTAGGGAAAAAGCAGGTTTACAGTGTGGGTACATAAAAGTTATTCTTGTATTATTATTTACTAACTACTAGTGACCCGGAGCATTAAATTGCATGGCCCTACCCACCCATGCACACCATGCCCACCTGCCTGCCGCACCGCCTTGATACCCTAACCTCTCCACCCAGAACTCAAGTGCACCTGGCCCCGCCCCTGACCCCTCTGGCCTTCTCTGGTCGCTTTAAGCCCCTCCCTTGGTCCCACGAGTCACCTCGGGCTGGTCCCACCTCCTCCGGGTGCCTCCCCGCTTCTGTCCCATCTCTGGAGCAATGCGGTAGCTCCACTCCTACACTCATGCAGCCTCCTGCTGAACAGTTGTTACAGCATGAGGGCATCACGACCATTAGCATATTAGCTCTTTATTATATAGGATTGTATTATTTTCTATACAAACAAATGTAGAGCTACTTTTGCCCCACCCTGTATTTGTGTTTGGAGATAAGTAGGGAAAATATAACAATTTAATGTTTTTTTCTTGTATTTTTGAGTTGATATTTGCTTTTTTACACTATTGGTTCATTTTATATGTTAGTGGGAGTCCTTAGTGACTAAGTACTGTGAGGGCTGGACCAGGCATGTCTGGTTCATTGTTGAATTTCCTGGCATCTACTAGGTGCTAGAAAGATTTTGGTAAATATTGAAGGAATGAATTATGGAAAGAGAAAATTCTTTCATTATTTGTTTTAACCTAATAACACTTTCCTGCTTTTTCTCCATATATTTCACATTAGGAAGTCTTCCACATCTTAGAAGATTTTAATGTACCAAGTATTTTAGCCTCACTGAACCTTGAAAAACATTAAATTTTTCAGTGTGAACCAAATAACCTACTCATGTCAGCTATGTTTCCATTTTTTTCCAGGTCTCAAGTTTGCTAGAGCAGTTTATATTCACTTTTCCTCTAAGTTAGCAAAGCTTCCATGAAAACATGTAATCATATGTCTTATTGCTTATTGTTTCTGTGTCTTCTTAATCTTTACTGCTATTCTGTGCCAGTATCTGAGGGTTTATTTGGCTGATTTCTGTTTTCCTCATTTGTACTTTTAGTCTTGAGTGGGAGCCATGGATAATATATAACGAGGACCTTTGTTTTTCTGCTGATGATTATTCCTGTGAGAGGAACCGAGTTTTAAAGTGAAAAGACAATTCAGCCCACTGTTATTTATTGATACCTTCTGTGTGCAAAGACCAAAATGCTACAACCATCACACAACTCATGTTAGGTACAGTGCCACAGTAAGAGTTATTTAAGATCATGTAGGATGTATGGTAAATGGGGCATCTCAGATGGTAGAAAAATGAGTAAAATTGTGGAATAGACGGCATTGTATAAACATGAGGGCCAATGCATATGTCAGAATGACAGTCAACTTTGTGTGGGAGAGAACAGGATAGGAAGGATATTGGATCAGATTGTGGAGGGTCGTTAGTGTTTTTTCAAAATTGGATATTCCCTGGAACCATCCTATTTCATCAAGCATGGTCCATAAATATTAGGGCTGGGAAACCATTCACAGTTTTACTGGCATGAAAAAACAATCTGCTGTTTTAATGAGCCTGAGTCTTTATACATTACATCCAGGGGTGCTATTAACCTCCGTGTTCTCTATATTTCAGGCATTAGTCTCTTACCATGGGGGATTGGAACTCATTGGGTGACATTCTAGAGGAAGTTCACTCCCACTCAACCATCATGGGGAAAATCTGGCTGACCATCCTCTTCATTTTCCGAATGCTGCTACTTGGTGTGGCTGCTGAAGATGTTGGGGATGATGAACAGTCAGCCTTTGCCTGCAACACCCAGCAGCCAGGTTGCAACAATATCTGTTATGATTGATGCATTCCCTATCTCTTTGACCAGATTCTGGGTTTTACTGATCATCTTCGTATCTTCTCCCTTTCTGGTGTATATGGGCCATGTCCTTTATCGACTCAGGGCCTTTGAAAAGGAGAGGCAGAGGAAAAAGTCACACCTTAGAACCCACATGGAGAATCTAGGGCTGGAATTGGAGGAGCAACAAAGGATAGAGAACTGAGGAGGTTACAAGAGCAGAAGAGGATCCATAAAGTCCCTCCGAAAGGATGTCTACCGCATACTTGTCTTACACATCTTGATCAGACATGTACTGGAAGTAGGGTTTATGGTAGGCCAGTATATTCTCTATGGGTTTCAAATACACTCCCTCTACAAATACACTCAACCTCCATGCCCCAGTGTAGCGATTGCCTTGTATCCAGGCCCACAGAGAAGACCATTTTCATGCTCTTTGTGCACAGCATTGCAGCCATCTCTTTGCTCCTTAATGTACTGGAAATATTCCATCTGGGAATCAGGAAAATCAGGAGGGCACTTTCTGAGAAGTCAGGCAATGAGGGCATTGACGATGAAAGGGCCCCTCCATTTCATTTGAGAAAATATTCAGTGCCTCAGCAATATATGATTTGCTCCCCCTTGTATGAAAGAATCTACTTCAAGCCAACAATCAGCAACAAGTCATCCAAGTCAGTGTGCCGAAGTCTAAAGCCTTGTGGCAAATCCCACAACCCAAGCCACTTGAGGTAGATCCTTGTGATAGTGAAAAGGACTGGGCTGAGAAGGGTCAGCACAGCGGACAGCTCCACGTCCACAACCCACGTCCCTGGGATGACTGTGCTAGAATTCAGCACCCGGGACAGCAACCTGACCATTCTTCCTTTGGCCTACAGAATACCATGTCCCAGTACTGGCTAGGCACAATGATGCCTTCTAGACATTGTCCATCCTATGCAATAGGAACCTGGGAACAGTCCCAGGACTGGCAACGCGCAGGGAGCCTCTCACAGGTTTGCACAGTCACTGCAGAGGCAGCGATGGCAGCGTGAGAGAGAGTGGAGTCTGGATAGACAGATCTCGCTCAGGCAGTCGCAAAGGCAGCTTTCTGTCCAGGCTGCTATCTGAAAAGGGACAGCTACACAGTGACTCAGCTAGCTTCAGTTCTCGGACTAGCTTGTGCTTTCTGCATCAGTAAAACAGCCCCTTGCTCTACCTTCAGCCAATGGGCACAGAACATCAATGGTAAGTAAAGACAGACTGACTGATCAAGGAACTATTACAAGAAGAGTTCCATTTTGGCCCCTTCTAAGCCTTCCATTTCTGTCTCCATGGTGTGTATATGTCTGTGTTGAGAGAGAGGGAGAGGAGGAAGGGGAGGTTAATTTATAGAGAGTTAAATTCATTCATTCAAGAAATTCAACTCATGAAATAAACTTAATTGAAAACTTTATATCCATCTGACTTTTAGGTGCTGGGTGTGTAAATGGATAAAATACCATCTCTGCCATAAAAGGGAAAGTTAGGTAAACATGTAAATGTGATAATGTGTAAGGTGCATGATATGGAGGTGGGCAAAGGAGGGAGTGGTCACTTCTTTATGGACCGGTCAGGAAAAGCTTCATAGTTTTTACTTTTCAATTGCAGTTGACATTCAAGATTATATTAGTTTCAGGTGAACAGTGCAGTTATTAGATAAGCATTTATATAACTTACAAAGTGGTTATCCCCAATAAGTCTGGTACTTACGTGGCACCGTGCCAAGTTATTACAATATTATTGATTAGATTCCTTAGGTTGTACTTTACATTTGCAACTATTTTGTAACTGCTAATTGTACTTTTTAATTCTTTCATCTTTTCACCCAGCCTCCATTCTCCTTCCACCTGGCCACCCTGTCTGTTCTCTGTATCTATACATTTTTTTCTGTTTTGTTTGTTCACTTATTGTTTTTTAGATTCCACATATAAGTGAAATATGCTATTTGTCTTTCTCTGACTTATTTCACTTATAATTCCTCTAGGTTCATCCATGGTTGTCACAAATGGTAAGATTTCACTCTGTATTATGACTGAGTAATATTCTATTGTATATCTGTACCGCATCTTCTAAAGCTTCATAGTTGAAGTGTCTTTTGAACTGTGTCGTCATAGATGTGAGTTTTCCAGGCCTAGGAGAACTGGGGTCCATGGAAGAGGCCATCCCAGTAGAGGGCACACACAGCACAAAGGGAGAGGTGTGACAGCAAGGCTCTCTGGGGAGTCACGTTTGGTGGAGCACAGACTGGAAGGAGGGCTGTGGAGAGAGGGAAGGCTGGAGAAGGGAGCATGGAGGCCTTGAAGGGTGGCAATGGAGAACTCAAAGGGGACGTGGAGCAGAGGAGTGACTGAGTCAGAGTCACTTTAGAAAGCTCTTTCTGCCACAGTGTGGAAAACGGACCAGAGGAGGGGTTGTTCGTAACCTTGAGGTGCCCTTGTCTCACGCCATTGTTTTCATAGCTCTGGCATTTAAAAGTCATATACAAATATTTGGGGATATATCTCACAAAGACTAAAATCAATATCATATCGATTTTAATTCTGTTCTCTGAACAGCCACTGTGGAATAAACATTCCCTGACCATTGTAAGACATAATGGATATTTATTGTAGATTCTTTTCAATTCTGGAAAAAAGAATGACATTTGCTTTACCCACTGCTCCAAACTGCTTTTGTTCATTAAACAACTCTTCCAGGTTTAGAGGTGGAACTTCGCCGTTAAGCTCACTTGGTTGAGCTCACACACTTGGTTTTTCCTTTCTTTCTTTGTGTTAATAGTGATTGAATCCCTCTAACCTAGTTTCATATCTCCTATGAATTTAGAGATTATTATTATTTTTTTTTACTGCATTAAAGCCATACCTCGAGAAGGAATCATCCTACCTAGATTTCTCCTAAAATGCTTCTCTCAAACTGATACTCATTTCTTGCCAGTGACCAGTCATCTACCTAGGAGACTGTGGGGAGCCTTCACGGCCATGGCATACTCATACCGGCTCAGCCTGGTTCAGTGACCCTGAGTGGGGGCGATGAAAGGCTTAGAAAAGACAGACAAGAGAATGAAAACTGGGTCTCGGTGGGACGCTGCCCCTCTGATGGACAGCGCCAGTCCCCACAAGCCGTGTCTTTATTTTATAGCAGATGCCACGAGGCAAAGTAAGGGCATGATCAAGTTGTTTACATCATTCTCCTGGGTTTCAACCCTACTCAACTACATGCACCTGAACTCTATCACACAGGCATGTGGGGCCACGTGTTCGGACCATAGGCTCAAGCATACAACTACAGCTGTTGGCTTTAATTGTGCTGGGAAGGCTCTGCCCTCCAAGCTGAGACTTGCACGTGGCCACGAGAGGACTGTGCCTTCTCATCAGTCCAAGGCTTGAACCTGTCCAAAACACTGTAGCGGCTCCTCATAGGAGACTGTGTTAGGTATCAATGCATGGGTGCTCAGGACCCTCTGCCGAACCACAGCAGGGTTCTCAACTCTGGCTACAAGTTACAGTCATCTGGGAGCTTTACTTTTTTTCATGCCCAGGACTCATCCGATTCTTTTTTTTTTTCATCCGATCCTAATTAAACCAGAATCTCTGGGGATGGGATGCAAACCCCATAATATGTTCCCTGGAGGCCCCCCATGACTCAGTAGGGTGCCTCGGAGATGCATTAGGGAGCATAATTCAGCAATTTTTAACTTCAGTTTCCCATCTGGTGGGTGCGGTCCGGCCATGCACTTCTTGAAGCCCAGACCTGGGTAGCAGGGTGCTCTCTCCAGACATCCTGTGAACAAAACATCCTTTACAGCCTCACTGACAGCTCAGCCAAATGGCTTCTGTGTCCACTGTTCCTCACCGTCTGGCCTGCCTGCCACTCAGTATCTCGGTTTCCCTTGACATCAAACTCCAAGACTGAACTATCAAATAGGCTTTTCTCGCTCAATTGTATTTACTCCCTAACCAGAATTCTAAATTCCTTGCCCTGCCCCTCCTTGTATCTTGGTGTTGATTTCTTTTCTCTGTTTACTTTCATTTACCTTTTGGTTTGAGATAATTGCAGGTTCACGTCATTGTAAGAAACACCACCCTCCCCATAGCTCCCCCCAGTGGTGACATTTTGCATAGGCGACAGCACCAAACCCAAACCAGGAAATTGGGTTTAATGTCTTTCATCTGCTCTCATAGGCACTAGGGGTTTTGAAAATTCAGAGTCGAGGAATCACTTTGGCATGATCACATTTTTAGACTTCTGATCAGATCAGTCAGGTAACAGGTAAGGGTACGAACTAGAGGAAGAGACATGGCTTCTCTGGCAGCAGAGATTTCCTCAGGCCACCAGCTGTGTCATCTGTAACAGGGATCCGAGGCAGAGAAAATCAGTTTACAATGCATAATGATATGTCTTTATTTCATCAACAGAAATGGTGTCTAGACAAAATTTAGTTAACACTAGCAATTCAATTGAGTGAAATTTTTTTTTTTGCACAATAGTGTATTTACAATGAGTAAATGAAGTTTCAATTCATTAGTTCATAGCAACGCTTTCCCCCCCAAAAAAGGTAAAAATTCTTAGTTACAGAGAATAAGCATCAACAGCCGTTTTCATCTTTACAATAAAAACCACAAGAAAAACCACAATCACTTAGAAAGTAAAAGACAAGCCTAAGAACTAGTATAATAAACTGATGCACTGAATTAAGTTACATTAATCGCATAGAATCTGTGTAAAAAGTATGTAGAAAAACACCTGATGTAACCTGTTACAGTCGTTGACCAGTTATGAGAGGTACAGAGGGTTATACAGGTAGATATGTGTGAAAACTGTCCGTATTGTTCGACCTGGGGAGGAGGAGAGGCGGGGCTGCGGCCCCTTGCATACACTGAGAAGACCCTGTTTTGAATATGGCCTCTGGAGTTTGTAAGGCATGTATTAGAGGTGCACTTGCATCCGACTGGTTCTGGAACAAATTCTCACAGGCCCTCTTGGCCTCCCAAGCAAAGGTGGGTGCTTGCCCGGAATGGCTCACGGTGTCTAACCAGCACCCAAAGCTCCCAAGTGCATCTGGAATCTTCCTGATTACTCGCTAGAAGTGGCAGGTCTTCTACGTCCCAGTGTGCATGGGCACCCCAGCATTCACACATGCAAAGTGCACTGTGGGGACTCGAGCGGAGGTCACCCCTCTGCCTCCAGACATGTTTCGGTAGAAGACTAAGCATCAGTCTGTAGGAAAACCCCACTGTGTCCAAGCCCTTTCCCCTTTCCTGATACACGGGAGCATTTGGCACTGAATGCCAGTCCACCTGAAATGAATGGTCTGGGTGCACTTCTGCTTCTAAGGAGCCATGGTTTCCTCTGAGGTCAATAACCTGGAATGAATGTGAGAGTCAGAGCTGTCTGTCCATTGCTTGATACTGAAATGCGCACACCACGCCACGCCATGAAATCATCTCCATATTACAATGAAAACACACTGATAGCCATTTGATATAAATATTACCTCCCAGGGTGGAGTGTAGGAAAATACTATACATTTAACTTTTCTTTGCAAGAAATGTTTTTGCACCGTCAGTTGAATAATTTATCCTTAATCTGCCACAATAGTTATTTTCTATGTACAAATACTATTTGCACATATTTGTGTGCAAATATTTTCTATTCTGCAGCATCCGTCTTTGATGCTTGGGTCATGAGATGGCTTGGGCAGTGTTAGAAACACACAGCTTTAACACAGAATGCCTCCCCACGGCCACCCAGGGCCCTGCGCTGTGGACTGACCTGCCAGAAACTGAACCTACAACAAAATCCTCAATTTGGGCAAGAAACACTAACTCATGATCCAGTGAACAGCTTTATTCTTTAAAAACACACACACACACTATGTTCTTTAGTCTATTTACAGTGATGAGGAAAAAACTTGATTCTTGCTTCCTTCTAGATCTGACTCCTCCACACTAAGCGATAGTGGAGCCGTTTGAAGTCCTTTCCTATGCAGCTCCCAGTTTAAATGGGGTGTGATGGATAGACCTAGGGAGCCAAGAAGGGCTTTGAGAGAGCCTGGCAGGCTTCTGCTCATGTTCAGAGGATTATGCTGCTCCACAGTGGATCAGCTCACAGGGCAGGACTTGGTGGTTTCTTAAACGGCTTATCGTTTTTACACTTTTGTTTGTTTCTTCTTCTTGAATGGCCATCATAAAGTATTAAAGGAGAAAGTGTAGGTGTGGACCTCTTGGCAATAGCACTGAACGTCACACCGCCCACCCGACCTTGAGCCGTCCTCCCATGCAGGCCCTCACGCGGCTCCCTGCCCTCCTTTTCAAGAAGCGGCAGTTGGCCCGCTAATCAACAGCCTTTTTTTAAAGTTCCTTGGGAAAGCAAGACGAGGATTAATTCCAAAATCATAGTGCATCTTCAAAGCAGCATACCTTCAGAAAGACAGTTAATAAATTACTTGTACACTATACAAAACCACACCGTCTGCTGCAGCTCACCTCTGAGGCCGGAGTCACGGCCAGGGAACCCAGAGGGAGAAGCAGGAGGGCCTAGGAACTGCCAGCCTTTTAATTTTTTTATTTTTTGCAACTGTTTTGTTCCAGAATCAGTATGTAATAAAGTTCATTTATTCAAGGCACCCCCAGATAACGCAGAGAAACAAACACATACAGCAAAGCACTCGCCTGCCCGAAGCCTGGCCAACCTGAAGGAAGTGAGGCTGCCTGGAGACACACATAGAACAAAGGGGAGGGCGAGATTCAGGCGGCCCTTAGCTCGTCACCTCCACGGTCCCTGCCCTGACCCATCCCAGGCCCAGACACTCAGAGCCCAGCCCCTCCTGGGCTGGCGTAGGGATCCTACGAAACAGTCCACGGTGGGAGGGTCCTTTATTTTGGTAAGAAAGACCCTAAAGAACACTGTTCCTTACGGTTAACTTGCTTTTCCTTTTCCTACGAGACACAGGCTTCACTAAGGGATCCCAGGGGAAAGAACAGGCTGGTTTTAAAAATTCCACTTGAGGCAATTTGGATTCTGGTCCCCAGCTAGTCCTCCCTTTGAATGAACCAGGAAATAATCTTGACAAACACATGTTTTAGAGCAGTAACAGACATGGACATGTTGCATTGCACAAAGTTAGTCGCTGTTCATGGTGGACGGTGAACAAAATCGGAACAAGTTGTTAAAAAGAAATCGAAAGATCGTTTTTCAAGCAGTGTTTTTAACCAGTTCCTACAGCAAGGGTTTGGTTGGAGAGAGGAATAAAAGTGAGGTGGGGGCTGGTAAGAAGAGGAGGTGGATCGAGTTAGGGTGGAGAGAAAGAAAGAGAGCCCTTCCCACTGGGAGCGGCCACGGCACAGGTGTGTGCAGACCGACCCACGGGGAGAGGATGGACGGAATGCGGTCAAGACTACCAGTTGCACGTGAGCTGTTACCAGGATAAATGATGCCAACAAGGTGTTTGGACCTGGTTATGATCTGAGCAGAAAACACTCCTTTTTTGGAAAAGAGGAGGCCACTTAAAAAAGGAAACAAGAGAGTTCAAGAACAAAATACTGTTGGCTGACTCCACTGTAACACAGACTTGGGATGGATCACACGATTCACATTGACTGTAAATTCGAACTGTCACCAGCTTTCCACAAAGGCGGGCAGACCTCTTGGTGAAGCGCAAGACCTGTCTACTAGGCGGAGAAATACCAACACCCGCGATGACAGGGGCAGCTCTGGTACAGAGCTCGATGAGACAAGCATGCGCACACCACACACACACACACACACACACACACACGAGAGGAAACGAAAACCCAGAGGCAGGTTTTAAAAGTGGAGCTAGTTTAAAAGAAAAGCCTTTTTTGTGTGTTTTAATCCTACAGCATGAACCAACATATTTCTGGCATTCATACATATTCCAACGTTTAGCGCTAATATTTGTACAGAAAAAAGTTAATACTACTAAAACATGTTACTATGATTTCACTTTCGCCTACATCATATACTAATTCCCCCTTTTACATGCAGCTTTAATATTGTCCAAACAATGGCACAAATAAAGAAACAAAGTCAACCATCTAGTCCCCAGTGCCCACCACCCCATCCCCACATCAAACCCTTAGGGACTCTTCCCCTGGCCAGGCTGGGGCCCGCTGGAGAGAGGGAGCTGATTCCTCCTCCTCTGCGGCTGGTGTGGGGTCTCAGCACACTCTCCTGTAAACGTGGCCAGGGGCCCACACCCCCCCAACCCCCCAGAGCCAAGGGAAGCTGCTCTCTGTGGGTTGCAAGCCAACCAGTTTTGCAGCAAGAGAAGAAAATGATCATCAGGTGAGGGCAGGTGTGTGTGTGGTGGGGGCAGGGTCAGGGCGGGCTCCTGGCCACACCACGTCCAAAGACTCAGAATGAAATCTGCCTGGGGACAAGAGACTGGTGGAAAACCTCAGAGTTCAACTCGAAGCATTTGGAGAAGGAAGGAAGGAAGAAATGCTCTCGCCTGTGTCCGGGACAGACCTGAGGCTGTCTGACCTGCTCTCTCCGACTCTGGGTGAGCTGCACTGACCCAGGACAGCCGCGCAGAGGCAGGGCCTTGGGGCTGCAGGTCACCCCCTCGGGTGAGCTCTCCCAGGAGGCCAGTCCTGCTCAGCCGAGTCCTTCCAAGTAGCAGGTCCTGCCGCACTACACTCCCAGGGCAGGCGAGGCCGGATGAAGTGCTGAAATGAATGGGACTTACTCCCCGGGTGAGAAAGCAGGTCTGACTTATTTCTAGGAGCCAACGCCTACTATTTCGATGCACTTTCGAGTGAGATGCCCAAACTCTCTCCCCACTTAGGAATCTGAACATCCAGCATCAACTCCGAACTCTCCATCTGCATTTCGACTTTGCTTAGGAAAGGTGGGGAGGAGGTGAGATAGAAAAATATTCAAGCAGATTATTGTCGACACATCCTAGGATGAATTCATTATTTGGCAAGATTGTTTTTTTTCCCTACATAATTATCACCTGAGTGGTTTTTTAATGAGCTAAAATGTTTTACTTTTAAACTAAAAGCAAAGAATATACAGTATACTCGAGTTATACGGAAGTTACAACTTCATTTAAGAAAATAGGTTTGACCCAAAACTCAGTGCAAGTGGCAAAGTTGACCATGACTGTACAGTGTCTGCAGAAACAAACAACAAACCCACCAACTCAGATGACACCACCTGACGGTGCCAAACCCAAACCAAACAGAAAAGGCTGTCTGAAACAAAAACCTTAAAATGAAAACTTCCAACATCGAATTCTGTCCATAAATAAGTACAAAATCGAAGTTGAACCGTGAAGCAAGAGAGAAAAAAAAGAAAAAACCATGTTAACAGTTGCCAAACTAGTTCTAGCATCAGAGACAAAAGAAGAGGAATGTTGGAACCTGTCTGTCAATGAGAAATGAAGTTTCCAGTTTTAGGATGAGAAAATTGAGGCATGCAGGACTTTTGCATATGGAGAGATATATACTTCATATATATATTATATATAATATGTACAGTCTAGCTATAAAACTTTGATGTGTATAGAAGCTGTCTTCAATGAAAAAAATTGAACATTCAGAAGAAATTCCTGAGATAGGGTTTGTGACATGGGCCACTGAGAAAAAAATCCGTGGTTGGGTCCTAGAGGTGTTATAGTCTATCCCTGTTAAGATTGAAATTAACCCACAGACAGACAGTGTCACCACTGTTGTCTTTCCTTGCCGGAGCAAGGGGTAGCACCATTGTGAAGGTAACGATCACTCCTGCGTGGAGAGAGGAGGGAATACTTGGAAACAGTATTGCTGCTGAGACCGCTGTAGTGTGCACCAAATTCCTTCTCGGTTCTTCCAGACGACAGCTGGACAGCGCCACCTGGTGGGGAGGTGTGAGGACGCGGAGGCGGGCCGCGTCACTAGGTGTAATCCTTCCTGGGCTGCTCGTCCGTGGTACACTTATCAGTCATTTCCTGGCAGAAGTCCACGGTCACCGTTTGGCTCCTGGGTTCAAGAGGAGGCCCTCTCTCCGCGAAGGTTCCTGGGTCAGTGCCTTCCAGCCTCCGCGCAGAAGTACAGTTCTCGGAGGCGTTGCTGGGGGCCCAGGGGGGCCCGGGCGGCGCGGCACCCTGCTCCAAACAGCAGGGCACGGTGTCCCCAACCGCGCACGGAGGGGCGGCAAGGTTCTGCTCCACGCCCAAGGGCGCGGGGCTAATACTGGAGGCTGGAGGGAGACCCATGGGTCTGAGGACAGGGCAGTACCGATGCAGGGCCTGGACCTGCTCGGGGCTCTGGATGTCGCGGCAGACTTCCTGGGAGAGGCAGGAGAAGTTGTCCAGCAGCTCCCCCATGCACGCTTTCAGCTGGTTCCTCTCGGACAGCAGCTTCTCCTTCTCGCACACCTGGGCACGGGGAAACAAGAGACGCCCGGTCAAGCCTGCGCCGGAGGGAGGCCTTGTGGCTGGGCTCTCCAGGATCTAGAAACTCACAACAAATGCCTCCCGGGAGCCTGGACATGCACTCCTGCCAGGTCTCATCGCTGAGCTGCCCACCCACACGGGCACCGATCCCGACACCTCCCTTGTGGCAGCTCTTTGTCCCTCTCGGTGGCCTGGCCAAGTGACCAGTAAAATCACCACCAACCACAACACTTCTTTTTTAAAAGATTTTATTTTTTTTAATTATTATTTTTTAATCCTTACCCGAAGACATTTTTTCCGTTGATTTTTTTTTAGAGAGAGTGGAAGGGAGAGGGAGAGACAGAGAGGAACACAGATGTGAGGGAGCCACATTTATTGGTTGCCCCACACACGCCATGGACCAGGGCTGGGAGGCTGCAACCGAGGTACATGCCCTTGACAGGAATTGAACCTGGGACCCTTTGGTCCACAGGCTGACGCTCTATCCACTGAGCCAAACTGGCTGGGGCTCAGAGCACTTCTGGGAGTCAAGGTTCCTGTTTCTTGGAGTTTGGGGTTTGCAGGGGATCAACTGGAAAACTCTTGGTCTCAAACCTAGAGCTGAGAATCTCCCCCAGATGCATTAGATTGCCACTTCTGAAGGTCAAAAATAACTGAGCAAGGCAGAGCTATGGCGACCAGTGGTTGCCAGGGGGTTGGGGTGGGGTGGGGTGGGAAGGACGAATAGGCAGGGCATAGAGAATTTTTAGGGCAGTGAAACTACTCTGTGCGATAGATACATGGTATTATGTTGTTTATTATACATTTGTCCAAACCCATGGACTGTACCCCAAGAGTGAGCCCTCATATGAACTGTGGACTTGGGTGATTTTTTTTTGTGTTACTCCTCACCCGAGGACAGTTTTCCATTTATTTTTAGAGAGAGTGGAAGGGAGAGGGAGAGACAGAGAGAAACATTGATGTGAGTGAGACACATCGATCGGTGGGCCCCGGCCAGGGCCAGGGCCAGGGATGGAGCCTTCAACTGAGGTACGTGTTCTAGACCAGAATTAAACCTGGGGCCCCTCAGTCCATGGGCAGATGCTCTATCCAAGGAGCGAAACCAGTCAGGGCAACTGGGCGATTCTGATGCGCCAGTGTAGGTTCACCAATTGTAACAAATGTGACTGGTGGGGCATGTTGATAATGGGGGAGGCTGGGAGTGTGCAGGAGCAGGGGGCATGTGGGAATTATGTGTTTGCTATTCAATTTGGCTATGAACCTAAAACTTCTTGAAAATATTTAAGCTATGAAAATTTAAAAAATGTGATTATTGGCCATTTCAGATGGTTCCATCCAACCTCAGCAGGCTCGCTGGCCTTTGTTGCAGACTGAGCACACAGACGCTGGTTAGGACGGCTGGGGACCGGGTAGTGAGGCTGACTCTCCCTGGACAGCAAGAGGGCACACAGGGCTGTGGAGACCGAGGTTCTCAGGTGTTTACCTTCAGGAAAATTCCACACAAGCTCTTGTGCTTCTCAAGTCCATCACCCCCTCAGAGAGAGGAATTTAGCACCGGAGGGGAGAGGGGTTTAAGTTTTACCACAACTACTTGTGTGAAGAGAGAGGATCAGGAGGCCCCAGAGAGGGCACACAGTGACATGGAGAAACTACACATCGAGGGCAACGTGGAGTGAGGATGGGAGAGAAAATGAAGCGGGGGACAGAGTGAGAGGGTGGGGGGCACACATCTGATGTGGGGGCTCCTACACAAGCTGCAGATGCCTTAAATCAAATGCAGCCCGGCAGGCACGTGGGGGCTCCTACACGAGCTGCACGTGCCCATCTCGAACACAGCCCGGCAGGCACGTGGGGGCTCCTACACGAGCTGCACGTGCCCATCTCGAACGCAGCGTGGCAGGCAGCGTGTGCAAGTCTGTCAGAGACAGAGATTTATATGGGGAAAGGGCACCTGCTAAAATATTTATAAATTTTCCAAGAAAACATGTTTTAAAAATGAAAAATAAACAGATGTACAAGTGCAACTCGAGAGAAATACATTATGCAAGTTTGCAGAAGCTGAGTGGCATGCCGGAGACAGCGTGGGAGTGGGGAGTGAGAGTGTCGTGTTGGGGACTTGTGGGCGGGATCGGAGTTGGCCCTGCCAGAGCCACCTGCCACTCAGGCCAGGCGAGTGGGCGCAGCTCCCCAGCTAGAGGGCGGTGGGTAAGAAGCCAAAACCATCCAGGCTGTGCAACCTGGACCTTCTGTGCTGCAACCTGGAAGGCTGTAAAGAGGCAACACCACACAGCCTGGGAGGGGACTCTGAGGGAATCTCAATCTTAATTCTGCCACATCATCTTGGCCAAGCCAGTGACCCCTCCACACCTACTGACCTGCAAAATGTCCCGGGTCACTTTCTGGGGTGAAGAGGATGAAACGCTATGTGTGCGGTGTTTTGGCTCACTGCACACATCAAGACTTGGTTGAAAGCGGGAAGCTCTAGGGCACAGCTAGCTGTACACTGACGAGCACGTGAAACTCACTTGGTGGTGAAATGCCGCATGTTACTTAAGGGGTTTCCAAAAAAGTGGTAGTGGTGGTGGTTGTGGGGGCGCGAACCAGATGCCCTCTTGGCTTCCCAACTGAACAATATTAGCAAGAGCTTTAGATGTCTGCCTGGTGTGTGGTGCAGACTTACTATTTGTTTATATCACACAGTTGCACGGAGAGGAATGCTAAACAAAAATTGGGCATTTCTCAAATATGGGTGGTTAGGGTTATCCTATCGCCTGAAGAAGAGTGTCGGCCCGGCATTCCTACAGACTTGGGCCTAAGACCTTGACGACTGGTACCTGTGGGCCCAGCCCGGCCTGGTTCCCCACCTAAGCCCAGCAGGCTTTCAGAAGACCCACACTCACCAGCAGCAATGTGGTGCTTGGCTTAAATTAAAAACGTTTTGTTGTTCTTAAAACAACATTAAAGAAAAATCTGAAACAAAGAAGTCATTCATAATTCCACGACCCAGTTGCAATTTTAGGTCAACGGACATTTCCCGAGAGGTTTCAATGGGTCTGCACTGGACATTCAGAGATGATCACCAAACTGTCCTTGTTGCACGAAACCTACAGTCTCGGGCAAGGGGCTGGGGCGGCAGATAAAAACATTTTGTTGTTCTTAAAACAACATTAAAGAAAAATCTGAAACAAAGAAGTCATTCATAATTCCACGACCCAGTTGCAATTTTAGGTCAACGGACATTTCCTGAGAGGTTTCAATGGGTCTGCACTGGAAATCCAGAGATGATCAACAAACCTATAGTCTCGGGCAAGGGGCTGGGGCGGCAGACACAGACAATGCAAGACTAATAATGTGACAAGCATGAAGCCAGAGGTCAGACTGGCTCCAGGGCAGGTGCCAGCCTCACAGGGGCTCAGGAAGGGGCCTTCCGGAGAGGGGACAGTTACCTGTGTCTTAAAGAGCACGGGTAGAGTTAGAGAAGAAAAACAGGGAGATGTCCGAGGTAGAGGGGAAACAACAGAGGCACAAGCACAGAGGTGTAAAGAGTAGGAGATGTTGGGGGGTGCAGACAGCTTGACTTTATTCGGGGTCAAGTTGTAGGGAGAGAGTGGAAGGGTGCTGGAGAGCAAGACAGACTGACTCCTGGAGAGCACCAGCTGTCTCGCTGAGGAGTGTGGGCTTTATTTGTACATGACAGGAGCCACTGAAGATGGGCAGGTTTTCCCTGCTTGGTGGGTGTTAATTAAATAATAAAAAGGACTCTGAGGTCCAGGACCATCTTAATAACCCATAACATTGCCTCGCCAGTGTGGCTCAGTGGTTGAGCATTGACCTATGAACCAGGAGGTCATGGTTCAATTCCCTGTCAGGGCACATGCCCGGGTTGCAGGCTCGACCCCCAGCGTGGGACATGCAAGAGGCAGCCGATCAATGATTCTCTCTCAGCATTGATATTTCTATCTCCCCCTCTCCTCTCCTCTCAAATCAATAAAAAAATATATATATCAAATAAAGTATTAAAAAATAACTCGTAACATTTATTCATGCTTTTCAAACGCCTGGCTCTTAGGTTCGCTTTAGGACGGTGGCTTACCAGGAGGCAAAGGATTGCTGCGTGCAGTCTGAGGACCCAAGCGAAGATCATGACCACACTGTGTGGCCTCCCTCTCCCTCCCTGACACACACTCGGCACCTGAGCTGAGTGTCAGGCTTTGGCCAGCAGAAAGGTCCAGCTGAATGAGGTTGTACTGGTTGCCTGCAAAGCTGGTCAGGAGTGAGGCCACCTGGGTTTATTCCTGTAGCTTAAGGTTGCATTTCAAGAAGAAGGGGCACACCGCTCTGAGGGACAGGAAGCTTGGGGGATGGGAGCTTGTTCCCTGACACAAAATACTCTCAGGCATAGGGAGGACGTGATTATCAGGTCGAGGCAGAATTGCAACATCAAGGACCCTGGGACAGGGAAGGGCTTCAGGAGCTGAGCTGCCTCACAGCAGGCAGGCGTCCTACCTCTAACCCACTCCTCTGTGGGAGGCAGGAGAAAACACAAGGTTTGGAATCAGACAATTGGGTTGGCAGCCAAGTTATGCCACATAGTGGGGAGTTACCTAACCCCTCTGCACTCTTGTTTCTGCCTCTGTGAATGGAGATAAAATAGTATCTAAGTCGTAGGGTTGATGTGAGGATTAACCTACAAAAATACTTCAGAATAATACCTGGTCCACATATGCATGTGATAAATGTTAACTATTAGAACACGCTGAATGGAAAATAGGAAAGAACTACCTCTATATAAAATATCGACATGTGATTACTCACCCTCACAGACACACCCATTGTGGATATAAAGCTATTATTTTTGCTGAGAAACTTGTTTACAAATGAACCCAAACTTCCCTGAATGGCGACCCTTCCCTTGACTTCTTTAGCCTTCACTGCTGTACCTTTGCATCAGTCCCGTCACTCCAGGGTACAGATAGCAATGGGAGGGCCAACTCACCAATTTGCGGATTTCACATTCTAAATTCTGAATGCAGTCCAGTTTCCTCTTGCGGCAGCGCTGGGCCGCGATGCGGTTCTTGCTGCGCCGCCGGACGTCGTGAATGAACTCTAACTGTTCTGAGGTCAGCTTGTGCATCTTAATCATCATCTGGAAGTCGTTCCTCGGAAGATCTGTGATTTGATCTACAGGAAAGGGAAGTTTGACCTGGAACCAAGAATAACAGATGATGATTACGGCAGCTGGATTTTTAGTTTTCATTCTGGCAGATAGAACATCAAAGCATGGTAAAAAACCTCCTTTTGAAGACGACCGAGTAATATGGGAACTACTGAGAGCAAGCTGTGATTAATTCTTTCCTGTTTCAAGTATAAATCCGATGTAATATTCAGATAATCAAACAGAATGTGATCACACAAATTACATGGTGCTTATCATCCCTGAGATTTTTGAAGCAAGCAGCATGGAAAACACTGGGAAATGTGAACTTTTTCATTGCTACAGCACTTTAGTAAGAAGGATTCTCTAGCTGGCTGAAACCTGCTTCCATTGAGCCACAACGCAACAAAACGACTATGTATAGAAAGAGCGTATAGAAAGAATGGTCTGAAACACTCGAATGAAGAGAGCATCACACACCCTGAAGATGCCGGAAAGATGGAACAGTGAGCGTGATGCTTAGTTACCACGGCATAAGGGAGACAGGGCGGTGACTTGGATAGGCTGCTCCAGCATGGACAAGGAGTCAGAACTGGACTTTTGTCATTCCTACCAGATGTGAGACCTCAGACAAGTTACTTCACTTCTCTAAACCCTAGTGTGCTCATCTGGAAAACAGGCCGTGCTTTTTAGTCTTCCAGTGCTCTTCAAGTGGTAGGCGCTTTGGCAGATTGTGTTTTCCAAAATGCAACGGCCATCCCATCTCACATTTTCTTTTACAAGAAACCTTCTTGACCTTCTTCTATCGAGAGGATGCGCATTCCTGCCTCGACCAATACAGTGCAGCAGGAGCGATGGTGTAACTTTGGAGGTTCGGTCATCAAAGGTGTTGCCGTTTCCTCTTAGGCCTCCTTGATTGCTCTTTGTGGAGGAAACCAGCTATGCCCTGTGGAGAGGCCCCTGTGGAGAAGACCTGAGGCCTCCAGTCAACTACCGGCATCACCTTGCCAGTCACATGAATGAGCCACCCAGGACGTGGATTTTCTGACCGTGTGGCCTCCCTCTTCCTCCCTGACATGGACTCGGCACCTGAGTTGAGTCTCCAGGATTTGGCCAGCAGAAAGACTGAGCAGAATGAAGTTGCACTGGTTGCCTGCAAAGCTAGTCGGGAGTGAGGCCACCTGGATCTGACTTCCACCTCATGAGGTTCCCCAGCCAGAAGTGCTCAGATGGGCCATGCGTGAGGCCATGCATGAATTCCTGACCCACAACACAGTGAGACGTGTTAAAGCAATTTTTGTTGTTTTAAGCCACAAAGTTTGGGGTGGTCTGTTAAGCAGCAATAGATAACTGGTGCAGATATTATTATCAGCAAGAGTCTCACTTTCAAACTCTTGACAAATCAAAGCCAATCAGCATTATTCAAAGCGAGGACTCCCGTCTCTTGAGGGATGGATCTGTGTCCTCCTCCTATTGTTAAATGCTTGGTTACAACCTTGTCTGTGGCGGTTTGCAACATTTAAGAACCACAGCCTTCTAGAGTCTCATGAGGTAAACACTGGCCTGCAGCTTCCAGCAGTTGGACACCACCCTTTCCAGGATCCTTACTGAAGACCCTAGGGACTTCGGCGTTCAGTTCTGCTTCTGTTTCAGAAGCTCCTAGAAAAGGAAGGTAGCACATTGTTCTGCCGAGTTTCCCAGCACAGACTGCTTCATGCTTGCTTACACTAGTTTGCCGTACACGGACCAGCAGATGGCGCTATGCACCTACACTTCCTTCAAGTTTCCCAGCACAGACTGCTTCATGCCTGCTTACACTAGATAGTTTGCCGTACAGGGACCAGCAGATGGCGCTATGCACCTACACTTCCTTCAAGCGCCTGCCCAGCGCTGTCCAATGCAAACAATGCCGGCTGCATCTGTGATTCTACATTTCTTAGTAGCCACTGATTAAAATAATTCAAAGAAATGAAAACAGGTGAAATTAATTCTAATAAAATATTGACTTGAACCCTATAGATCCAAAATATTTTCAACATGTAATTAATAGAAAATTACTGTGATATTTTACTTTTTTGGATGGGAGGCACTAAATTTTCAAAATCCGAGGTGTATATGACACCTACAACATGTCATAAACCAGCCACAATTCTGGGGCTCAACAGCCACATGTGGCTATAGTACTGGACTCAATGAAACTGAGGAATCAGAAAAATAGGTCAATTAAACCTGAGTTTCATTGATCAGAGTATTTCTGGGTGAGGAAACCAAGCCCTCGCTAATACTCCGAAGGTGCAGCATTATGTCTGCCTGGCTGAGGGGAGGGTGATGGAGAAATTTTATCCTGAGCTCAGGCCTTTTCTTTGGTGACATCAGATGCAGGCGGACAGGCGCCCAGATCCTGGCTTCTGTGACTAGTGAATCCCCGTGCACAAAGGCAATCACAAACGACCATGTGGCTTTTCCACGGCCGGGTGCACCTGCTCTGTCAGGTTCTCTGTAGCTCTGAGCCCACTGGACGCGGCCTTAACCGAAGGCTGCCAGTGGGCGCTGTGATTCTACTTGCGCATGGTGAACGCTGCCCCGTGACACCTATGAAACTTTTTGGCCCAAGAGAACAAAATCACAACGACACACATTACACCACTCTCAGCTCAGCCCTGCTCCGTCTGCTAAAGACGGGCAGCCAGGACAAACAGCTCCTTGTTATGGGCCCGGGAAAGGGCTTTGTCCATGGGGCTGTGTTTGCACAAGGCTTATACTGATATGAAAGAATGTTTGATTTCCCTTTCATACCCTTTGGATGACAAACAGACACTCAGATCCTGGACGGTGCCTAAATAACACAGAGGTCTGTGTGCGGGGACACGGATGTTTCCACACCAGGCAGAAGCCTTGTTTGCACAGCGGAGGTGGAAGCAGTTCTGGGCCTGGTGTCTCCCCTTCTGCCGACCACAAAGCCGTTCTGCTCCCGCTCGCAATCGTGTTTACTGATTTTCAGAAAGAAAACATACCTATAGTTCAGGCCACAGGGAAAGTCAGAAGGCCTTCTGTAGTGAGAGTTACTATATTCAAAAGCATCCAGGCAGTGAATATAAAACACTAGGGAAATAGGACAGAGGTTGACAGGAAAGAAGAAAAATCAACAATGCTCGTTTCAAAGTCCTTGAAGCAAAAGGCCATATAAAATTTCAGCAAAGCTGTTGCAACTCCAGTTGCTTTTTAAAGAGGTCAAAGGAAAAGAAAATTGTCAGCCATAGACTTTCTTCAATGTGAGGGGGGAAAAAAAGCAACAAAGCAAAACCCTAACACTCTTGTTTCTCTTTAAAAGGCTCTGTTTCCTCTCTGGCAAGGGAGAATTTCCACTGACACCGGAGGGTAGTCCCAGACGTGTTCTTGGAGAGGCTCAGTGGCCACTCACCGCGTCTGCTTGCTATGGTCAGAGATGTGAGCTCCAAGCCAATGGCATGGTCCCCAGAGATAAAGAGCGGGCACAGACCCCTCATGGAGCAGGGGGAATGCTCCATTCTCAGGCTCGCAGGCACCCAGCACTCTTCAAATGGGGCTGGGAAGTCCGCTAATGCTACTTGGCCTTTGGATACGTTGAAACACATCGAGAAGGCTGAGGCCCTTCTCCCTTTCTTCCAGAGAATTCTTACAACCCAAATGGCCTAATAGGACTTCCCATCTTATTTATTGTCCTTCCACACACTTATTCTTCCAAGATTTAACTTCTCAGCAGTGGCTTGGTTTTCATTCACTGGACTCTCACAGAGAGTGCAAAACACCCAAACAGACAAGACGAAGATCCTGCCAACTACCACCAGCCCCTGTCCGAATGGCCGGCCTGCAGCTATACCAGTGATGGCGAACCTGTGACATGCGTGTCAGAGGTGACACGTGAACTCATTTTTTTTGGTTGATTTTTCTTTGTTAAATGGCATTTAAATATATAAAATAAATATCAAAAATATGTCTTTGTTTTACTATGGCTGCAAATATCAAAAAATTTCTATATGTGACATGGCACCAGAGTTAAGTTAGGGTTTTTCAAAATGCTGACATGCCGAGCTCAAAAGGTTCGCCATCACTGAGCTATACAGTCAACCACGGGCATATGAGACTAAGCATAGGAGGCTGAGCAGGCTGCACAGGAGGGGAAGGGCCCCTGTGGCTTTTCCATGGGATTGAGGGACCTGATTTCTCTTCAGACTCGGGGCCGCCATGTAGGTGCACCCGAGCTTTGCTTCTCAGTAGAGACTCTGAGAGTCAGCAAGCCCAGGGCCTGTGACACCGGAGCCAGCCGGTGCCTCAGCGTGCATGGTCTGCCCCCGTTGACTTGACCCGGCCCAGCAGAGTGCCCAGGCTTCTCTTCCTTCTTAGCACAATGGGAGGAACAGGACACAGGTGTTTCAGCCCAGCACCTGCACTGGCTGGCTGAGCAGTGGCCAGAGGAGGGTGAGACCCTCTGGGGGCCCCAGCTCCTGATCAGTCAGGGGAATGAACGGCCCTGCCGTGTGCCGAGGGTCCTCTGGCCCCAGAGGCTGACAAAAGGTGGGGGCGGGGAATGCTGTGTGACTTCTGGAGGGTGAATAAAATCTAAATATTCCTCATCATGGGCCTGGCCAGGGGGTGCCAGTGCATCCTTCTCACCAAACGCTAGTCAGCGGCTCCACGCCCCTCCCCTGCGAACAGCTGCCCAGCTTCTGCAGCCGATACACCCCCCTCTCCCAGATAAACAAAAGTATCATTTAAGAAATTATATGAGAAATATAACTTCTTGCAGAAAGTTCAAATATGAGACAAAAGAGGGGGAAAAGATTGCCCTCCCCAAACAATAACACTCTTGCTTTGGTGGACTTCCCTGTGATCTTGTTTCCTCTGAATATTTTACGGGGTTTTAATGAGACGGGTTGTCATCACCTCCTGTGTCTCTTAACACATCTCATGTGCCTGGTGTCTCTGGGAGGCTCGATGGGGGCTATTGAAGAAGGACCGAGATAAAACGTTGTAGAAAAAGCCGAGAACAAGCATCTATTTCCTCTAGA